CGCATCAAGGAAGAAAAACCACATGACCATATCAACAGATACAGAGGAAGCATTTGACAAAATCCAATTTTAGAATAGAGAGACACTATCCCAATTTAATATTTTTTATTTTCATTCTTTTAAATATTTTATTTATTATTTTTATTTTATGTGTATACTGCCTGCACGTATGTGAATGTACCCGTGCTGTGCAATGCCTGCAGAAGTCAGAAGAGGGTATCCAATTCCCCTGAAACTGGAGTTATAGACAGTTGTTAGCTGCCATGTAGGTGCTGGGAATTGAACTCAGGTCCTCTTCAAGAGCAGCCAGTGCTCCTAACTGCTGAGCCATCACTCTAGCCCCTAATTTGATTTTTTTTTTTTTCGTCTTTTTGAGACAGGGCCTCCCTGTAGCCCCAGCTGTCCTGGAACTCACTATGTAAACCAGGCTGGTCTTGAACTCACAGAGATCTGCCTGCCTCTGCCTCCTGAGTGCTGGGATTAAAGGCGAGCGCCACCATGCCCAGCCCTAATTTGATATTTTTTAAATCCATAAAATACATACATATAATAGTGTACTTAATGGTAAGAAATTAACCAGTTAAGTTTCAGTTAATTTATGTTATATAAATTTTACCTCCATAAAATTTTAACATTGTTAAAAATGTTTAACATTGTTAAGCTTTAACAATACTACTTTTGAATTACAAATGTCAGTTTTAATAATCTTTAGAAATCAAGGTAACTATGATTACAAACAAGTAACCTTTAGTTAAATACACAACTGAAAGTCTATGGATATGTACCTTGTGCTCCAAAAAGAACCCCGGAAGAAGCAGTATTTTGGAATCTGTTGGCAGCTTTAAGAGATCCCTTTGGTCTACCAGTAAGAAATGGACCACATTGAGAGTCACTGTTTTTTTGTTTGTTGGTTGGTTAGTTTGTTTGTTTGGACAAGGTCTCACTCACTGTGTAGCCCTGGCTGGGCTAGTCTGGAAGTCACAGAGATCCATTTGCCTTTGCTTCCTGAGTGCTGGGATTAAAGGTGTTAAAGGTGCACTGCCACAGCCAGCCAGTGTCACTGATTCATCACCTTCCAGAAATTTGGCCTGGCAGCCTTGAATAAGCACAACTGTTAAAGGGCATAGGACATGAACCTTGAGAACGCAGTGAGCCTGAAATGCATGACACAGGTTTGATGGCCATGGTAGTATAAAATAAGAGATGAAGTGGGCAGAGCTATGTCTACTCAGGCTACACACAGCAAGCAGGCTTCTCCCTAATGGGAAGTTCCATACATTATCATTAAAGTATAGGTATGCTCTGTGTGTGTACATTATCATTAAAGCAAGTCTGAAATGTGGCACATGCATGTAATCTCACCACTCAGCTGAGGCAGTGTATCAAATTCCAGGCCATCCTGGACCCCTAGCAAGACCCTCTTTCAGACAAAATTAAAAATAAATAGAAAGTAAGGCTGAAATGTTAGTCTTGTCATTTGTAGACTTACTATTGGTTTTCAATATGGAAACAAAGTTATGAAGTCCGCTCTTTTCACAACCCCAAACCTCTTCTCTTGCAGCAGAACTGAGGCAAGGCTGTGGTGAATCTTTTCTACCTCCTAGGTGGAACCTCTCCACCATCTCCCCTCACCTTGACATGTCTGTGGTATGCACATGCTCTGCTCCCCAGTAATGACATAAATTCCTGCAGGACTGATCCAGCAGCTTGGGACTCCAAGTGGAACTCCTTGGGCAGCTGAGAAGACAAGTTTGTCAAGATTAGAACTCTATTGTTTTAACTCAGGAATACAGCAGCTATCAACAGAATTAACTGTCATCTTATATGTGACATAACAATACTCCTATGATACCAGATTAAAAAAACACATATGGCCCTTCTCCTAAATTACATGCTTCTTGAATCTCATTGCCTATGATTATTCAGGGCTCGCTAGCACAGTACTTATTATGATAGACATTCAGAAAGAACTTGCAAGTGAAGGTTCTACTACAGTGGCCAGGCATATCCATTAAGGGCAATTATAAGGGCAGTATGGTAGAAAAGAAAGCATTTTTTGTTTGTTTTTTTGAGACAGTCTCCCTCCCAGCTGGCCTGGAACTATGTAGACCAGGCTGGCCTTGAACTCACAGAGATCCGCCTGACTCTGCCTCCTGAGTGATAGGATTAAAGATGTGCACCACCATGCCTGGCAAGAAAGCATTTTTGTCTGTCTCCATCTTTCTAAAAGAACACTTGTGATGGCATTTAAGACCAACATGGCTGGCAGGCAAGACAGTCGGACACATAAAATAAATTTTAAAAATTAAAAATATAAAGTCAAGAGCCCTGACATATGAGCTCTCCAGAAGGAAAGGAAATCTTTCCTGACCATAGAAACAGGTCATAGAGCATGCTCTGTAGTTAACTTTGAGGGCCTTGAGGATATCCAGCTCGGAAGTTCAGACTCTTACAGTGGAAGGTCTGAGACCAAAGCCATACTATCAGACCCGCAGTAGTTCCAGATACTGAGCCAGCTTCATAGGAATTGCCTAAGTCTTCTCCAAATGGCTATGTAACTTCTGGGATCCTGAGCTGTGGAAATGACTTTTACAATGTGGACATGCTCTGGACAGATGACTTACACTCAACCATACAACCAAAAAGTTAATCTTATCTTGTTTGTTTAGACAAGCTCCCTGACCCATGTGCTCCTCTTGTGACTTGGGCATATGGTCTTAATCTCTCATGATCCTTCCTTGCCTTTGACCCAAAACAAGGTATCAATGTGTATATGTATGTTTTTCATATTCAGTAGAAGCAAGGAAAATTAACCCATTTGTGTTGCAAACAACAGGGATTAGGTTGATAAATCTGTTTGTGGCTGTGTGTCCTAGCTCAATAAGAGTTAGAAGGGGCATAGTCCTCGGATTAGACAGTCCCTTTTTTTTTTTTTTTTTTTTTTTTGAGACAGGTCCCTGTAGCTCCAGCTGATCTGGGATTGACTATGGGATTAAAGGCATGCACCACCACACCCAGCAAGATAGCTCCATTTTTTTTTTTTTGTCTTTTTGAGACAGGGTCTCCCTGTAGCCCCAGCTGTCCTGGAACTCACTATGTAGACCAGGCTGGCCTTGAACTCACAGAGATCCACCTGCTTCTGCCTCCCGAGTGCTGGGATTAAAGGCGTGCGCCACCACGCCCAGCAAGATAGCTCCATTTTTACTTCCCCATTTCATGCTGAATATACTGTTTCAATAAAGAAAGGGAGGGTGGAGAGATGGCTCAGTGGTTAAGAGCATTGGCTGCTCTTGCAGAGGACCCAAGTTCAGTTCCCAGCACCCACACAACAGCTAACAGCTGTCCATAAGTCCAGCTACAGAGGATCCAACACCCTCTTCTGACCTCTGTGGGCACTGTATAACATGGGTGCATTTACATGAATGTAAGCAATACACTCATTCACATAAAATAAAAATAATAATAAATTTTTTTTAAAAAATAGCCAGCACTTGGGAGGCAGAGGCAGGTGGATGTCTGTGGGAAGCGAGCACAGCCGAGCCAGCCAAAGATGGAGCCCTGGCTGGCTGCCAAACCTCGTGCTGTTTACTCCAACTCTTGGGGCTGGTCTGGTACTCACAGAGATCTGCCTGCCTCTATTTCCCAAGTGCTGGGGTTAAAGGTGTGCACTATCAGGCTGGAGAGATGGCTCAACAGTTAAGAACACTGACTGCTCTTGCAGAAGACCCAGGTTCAAATCCTAGAACCCACATGGCAGCTAACAACTGTCCCTAACTCCAGTCCCAGGGGATCCGACAGCCTCTTCTGTCCTCCGCAGGCATTGCACGACATGGGGGCACTTACCTACATGCAGGCATAACACTCATACACATAAAATAAAAATAACAAATAAATAAAAAAATAAAAGTAGAGCCGGGCATGGTGGCACACACCTTTGATCCCAGTACTTGGAAGGCAGAGGCAGGTGGATCTCAGCCAGCCTGGTCTACATAGTGAGTCTCAGGCCCACTGGGGCTGTTACAAGGAGACCCTGCCTCAAAAAGACCAATAAAATAAAATAAAATAAAATAAAATAAAATAAAATAAAATAAAATAAATAAAATAAAATAAAATAAAATAAAAAAGATCGAGCCCTTGTTCTAGAGAACAGTTTCGAGAGAATTCTTAAGGAACAGGTTCTCAGAACAGTTCAGGTCCCTCTTAGCTAAAATGGATGCTAGACTCAGACTGTCTTTATTCAAGTACTCTAACTGCCACACTGAACCTTTGCAGGCCAAGAGGTAGATTTTAACAAGAGCACAACAAGAAACCCCTAAAGTTGCCTGACCCTTCTCCCATAATTCTAAAGGAAGCCCCCCTTATACTGGCAGGCCAAAAGTAAGAATGAGTTCAAGACCCGGTGTGCACTTCGGAGTTCCCTAGACATCTGTAACAATGGACTAGATTTCCAAGTGTTCCTTGACCCTAGATTTCTCATAGCTGTACTCCCTTGGCATTCTAGGACACCTTGTTGTCCAATTCCAGATACTGACTTCCCCTCTGAATTACCAGAGCAGGTGCTGGATACAGCGTGTGCACTCCTTAGACTTTCTGTCTTTGTAGAGCATCATTACAAATAACTGTGAAACCTATTCTCACTCCTTGACCTCCTGCAGTATGGCTCTATCACCACCTTCCTCTCTAGAATTTCACTGAAATCTTTTTTACATGCATTGCACAATGTTAAGTCTTTGTTTTACCAAATATCTCTGAAGTTGCTGGCCACTCCATATATTTTGAAACTCTCTTCACTGGCTTTGGGATAATAAAGTCACTTGATTCTCCTCCTCCCTGTCACTTAGCCCTTTTTCTCAGTCTCTACTGATGGCTCAGTCCTTACCCTCTATCTACTTCCCTTCCAGGAAATGTGGGAACTCTTGGAACTGTTATCTTCAATTCTCTAAGTGACTCCACTGCACACATGGCTTCAGAAACAATCTCTGTCTGAGGTTTCCAAGTGAGTCTGTAGACACAGCCCATCTTTGGAGCTCCAAGTTGCAGGTCCACATCCTCTACTGCCCCAGATACAACACATTTAATAACAGTCAGGGCTCAGAAGTATGGATTTAACAGGCTACAACAGCATTTATGTCGTATTCCTGCCAAAACGCAGGAACAGAATAAGACCATGAGGAAACACAAACCCAAATAAAGGGACATCATACAAACAATAAATTCTTTCTCTCAGGTATCATGTTAGTAAGGCAGAAAAGGCTGAGTTCCAGATTACAGTAAACCAACATTATAGGACAAGTAAACCCATTGTATGATCCAGGATTAGATTCTGGATTGCAAGGATAGAGAGTAATGGTATTACAATTAAGAACAGTCACTTGAATTTGAATATAAATTATATATTAAATTATAATA